CAAATGACATGATACAATATTTTCATGATCCCCAAAACTTCACCCCCAAACTCTTAGAAATTGTAAATCACTTCGGCAAAGTAGCAGGATTCAAAATCAACCTACAAAAATGAGTCGCCTTCCTGTACACTGACAATGTACAACCAGAGAGGGAAATAAAGGAAGCAACCCCATTCATAATAAGTCCCCCCAAAATAAAATACTTAGGAATTAACCTAACCAAAGATGCAAGTAACTATTTAATGAAAATTATAAAAACTTAAAGAAAAAATTACAGAAGACACCAGGAAATGGAAAGACCTTCCATGCTCTTAGATAGGCAGACTTAATATAGTGAAAATGGCAATACTGCCAAAATTAATATACAAATTCAATGCAATTCCTATTAAATTCCCAATGATATACATAGTGAAATATAGAAAACAGTCCAAAAAATTCATATGGAACAACAGAGACCTAGAATAGCCAAAACAATTCTTAACAAAAAGACAACATGGGAGAGATCTCGATGTGGGACTTCAAACTCTACTATAGAGCCATAATAACAAAGACAGCATGGTACTGGCACAAAAACAGACCCGAAGACGAATGGAATAAAACAGAAGATCCACAAATAAAACGACATGTCTACAGTCAACTGATACTTGACAAAGGAGCCAAAGACATACAGTGGAGGAAACCCAGCCTCTCCAACTACTGGTGCTTGGAAAACTGGTAGGCCATATGCAGAAAGCTAAAAGTGGACCCCAGCCTATCACCATGCACCAACAATGGATTAAAGACCTTAACATCAAACCTGAATCTCTGAAACTACTGCAGGACAGAGGAGGAGAGAAACTTGAACTTATAAGCACAGGCAGAAACTTCCTGAACCAAGTCCCAGGGTCATAACAAACTGGAGAGAGACTCAACAAATGGGACTACCTTAAAATAAAAAGTTTCTGCAAAGCTAAAGTTACAGCAACCATGATAGAAAGACAACTAACTAACTAGGAAAAAAATACCAGCAATATATCAGACAAGGGGTTAATATCCAGTATATACAGAGAACTCAAGAAACTAATCCCTCCGAAACCTAAAAAACCAATTACTAAATGGGTAAGGGAACTAAAGAGAGACTTCTCAGAAGAAGAAATAAAAATGGCAAAGAAACACATGAGGAAATGTTCACCATCCCTGGTTGCAAAGGAAATACAAATAAATACAACCTTGAGATACTACCTTACCCCAGTCAGAATGGCCCACATCCTCAAGTCAGCCAAAGACAAATGCCGGAGGGGATGCGGAGAAAGAGGAACCCTATTGCACTTTGGAAAGCAGTCTGGAGGATCCTCAGAAAGCTAAATATTTGCCTCCATTTTGACCCAGTCATACCACTTCTAGGCATCTATCCTGAACAATATGAACCAGCATACAAGGACACATGCATCTCCATGTTTATTGCAGCACTGTTCACAATAGCCAGGATATGGAAACAACCCAGATGTCCCACCACAGATGAGTGGATCCAAAAATTGTGTTATCTATACACAATGGAATATTATGCAGCCATTAAAAATGACAAAATAATGGCATTTGCAGGGAAATGGATGGAGCTAGAAGAAATCATGTTGAGGGAGGTAAGCCAAGAGCAAAGAGACAAATAGCACATGGTGTCACTGATAAGTGGATGTTAAATTCGAAATGTAAGGTGATATGACTAAATTAACAAGACTTAAGAAACAAAGGACTTCCACTCATCTGGTCGAATCCCTACTAAATAACCCCATGCGGCTGATCACATGTATAGTATATATGTGCACACCAGAGGGAAACCAGGAGGACGACACAGAACTAGAGGGAGTCATGGAAAAAACATACAACAGCGGGACCCATCAGCTGCACTGGATATTGATCAAAATGAACTAAGCAACTCAATGGCAGTGATGTGAAGGAGGGAACAAGTAGGAAAGAAGGAACAGCTGACACTATGGAAAGCAAAAGAAATGTACATATCACCCAATGTGGAAGAAATAAATGTATTGCAAAGCCCATAGAACTCATAAATATTATAGACCATGATAGACAATTTACCCCATGAAAGTTAGAATGTGTTTGTGACTTTAACTAAGCATCACTATCCCACAATACTGTGAAATTTGGGAAATTGTGTAATCACTTAATCACAATAAAGAATTTGAAAAAAAATGCTTATATCCTAAAAAGTATCGAACATATGTCTCCAACCCCACTCTCTCCTTTGTGTTCCACAAACCACAATCCAGCTAACTACTTGAAATTCATTGTCTGATATCTAATTACAATATTCCCAATGGACTCCAATATATCCAGAAAAGGACTTAAAATGTAATTATCCTCAGTGCATTTATTAATTGTCTAGTCTTTCTTTTTTGCTTCACTACCTTCCATAATGTTCCTAATCTTAGGACTTACTTCTGATTCTACCTTTTAAAAAAGTTATCATCTTCTATTCCACTGAGAAATTCCATTGGTTTACCACTGAAATACACTTGAATTCAGTTTTCTTTCCAACAATTCCCTTGGTACCTCCTGATTGATCTATTATTGCTCACTTGACTCAATTCAATGCAGTAATCCACATCCCTATTGAAGTTCTTACTCCAACAATAACAGCAACCATACTGATATAAAATTGTTAATTTTATTATTTTAATATAATGATGTTATTATTAAAAGCATGTGTTAAAAGCTTGGTCCACAGTCCACAACACTAAGAGGCCTTCAAGAGATAAGCTCTACTAGAAGGTCTTTAATCATTGAGGGTGTGTCCTTGAAGAAGTTGCTGGGACCCAAGTCCTTTCATCTGTCCTTCTTTTGTTTCTCTTCCCACTGCTTGTAGAATTCTGCTAGTTTCTCTATTTGTCATGTAGCTTTTCCAACCTCCAAATAAGATAAACCCTTTCCTGCTCTGGGCCTTCGTAACTTATTCTTTCTTGCTAAAACCCATATCCCAATGGATACTCTATGGCTAGCTCCTTTTTGCAATCTCAGAATCAAATTATAAGTCCATTCCTTATGAAGGACAGCTACATCTGAGCTGAAAACTTCTCCCAAGTAATTCTTTATAAATATTTGTTTTCTAGCATACCATAGTGTTTAATTGAATTCTGTGCTTTTTTTCCTTCCTTCCCTCTTTTTTCCTTCCTTCTTTTTTCTTTCCTTCTTTCTTTCCTTCCTTCTTTTTTCCTTCTTTCTTTCCTTCCTTCCTTGGTCTGTCAACTCTCCAACCCAGCACAGGCACTAGAAGCTAACCATCTTAATAGCAAGGACCTAGTCCTTCTTGTAATAGTGTGATAAGAACATTGGCACATGCAATACAAATTGTATATAAATACAATAATCAAATATTGGGCTGAATATGTAGTTCAGTGGTAGAGCACTTGCCTAGCATGCACCAGACCATAGGTACCACCCCAGCACAAGAAGTATTAAAGCTAAACTTTCAGATGAGTACTAATATTCAAAGCAGTTTATAACTGAGAAAAAGAAGGCTTAGAAGAGAATAAATATCTCAGTAAAGATTTTATAACTAAACCCCTGCTTTCACTATATTTGATGTCAGTATAACTTGTGGAGGAGATGGGGAAAACCCGTTTTTTAAGGATACAGGTGGATCTGATGCAACAATGAGAAGTACAAGTTGTCATAACGAGCTTTACAACGTCGGTGCGGGGGGAGGGGGGTTGGGGGGGGAAGGGGGTGGGAGGGAGGGGGGAAGGAGAAGGATTGGGATGGGGGAGGGGGGAGGCTGGGAAGGGATGGGAAGGGTAAACAAAGGAGGAGGCTGCAATGCTTGGTAAGCAATGTACGTATTATCCTGCCCATGCAATTGTAACCCCTCTGTACAGTATGTTCACAAATAAAATAAAATTAAAAAAAAAAGATTTTATAACTAGATGTTGCAGTTTGGAATTCCAAATGAAACATGTCTGATTCCAAAACCTATGTTCTTAATCATATGATTTATTGACTACTGGCCTCCTGCTTTCTGGCCTTAAATTAATTGCCTAGCCCTATTGCATCTGATACTTGGTGCTATTACAGCCATTCTGACTTTTGGTATTCTAAATAACTATGATGAAGACCTTTCTATGGCTAGACTACTTCTGCCAGTCTACACTTGTTTCTTTCCACTTTGCAACAAACTATGCCTTTGAGTAGGTCACATTCTCCATGTCCCACTTTCCTGAAGTAGAATAAAAGATTTTCAATCATGGTTTTCAAGTTATTTTCCAGATTTAACAGTTCAGTAGAAATAATTAAAACTCATATTCCTCCTCTTGGATATGAGGTACTTGGATTCCAAATATTTTAATTTCATCAATTTAATTTCCCTAGTTTGAAAACACAATAATTCTATAAAGAGTTGGGAGATTTCCCACACTGTATGCAGAATAGTCTGTATGTTAATAGAGTACATGATTTCTTTCATCACTTGATGAAATACAAGTCAATATCCTTAGACTAATATTGTGTTACACAACAAGATGTTACTGGTAACACATCATATGGCTGCCTTTCTCTGAATTATTGATTGGTTTACTAAGCTCTTAATGAATGACTTCTCTGTGTGTTATGGGCAAACAATGATCAATGCATGACCCTGTCAGATGGATCTCAGGATTCATGAGGAGAGACAGATAATCTCATGAGTCAATATAACAAACAGAAATGTCTCTGAAAGCTAAAACTAGCAACATGAAAAACAGCTGTAGGAATAGGGTCAAATGTGATCATTGTACCATTGCTACTTTATGCTAGAGAATTAATTGTATTTCAGAAAAATATAGTAAACACTTTAAAATATGGTTTGTATAGTTAAACAGTGTGAAAATAAACCCACGGAAAGTCAGGTCCCGGTCTGCCCTATCTGATTGCTAATGCAAATATTTCTCTGATTTCCTTCCATAGCTCCAAGATTTCTGCATTTCTGAGAAAGCTTCAGCCTTGCTGTGACCAGCAGGGAAGCAATCTGCTATTCATTCCTGAAGCCCAGGGGATGTGCCTTGCTGGCACCCTTCTTCCTGTACTATTTCTGTGCTGCCAAGTTGGAAAGGCAGCTGGTTTGAGAGCATGAAGATCAGGGCAGCCTTCTTAGCCAGGTAGCCCAGGGGAGAAGAGTGGAGAGGAAGCCTCAAAGGCAAATGCAGCCAAGAAATCACTGCAGAACATGTTAATTAATCTGCAGTTGAGGAGGGAAGTAGGATCATCATTCCTGAATGATAGTTTCAAGTTTGCACCTAACTAGACAGGTAGGTTACAGAGAATCACTTAGATGCCTTCGAGGCAGGCAGATAGTACAGGCTCCATGATTGCTAGACTGGCTTGTAGATCTGCTCACAGACTTGCCCTTGCCTAAGGAAAATTCTAAGACTTCTGCAAAAGACCAACCCAAGATCGCCAAAGGTGCTGACACAAGATGCTATAAAATACTTCCTAACTAGTGCCACATATTGATAACCAGATATTACCTCAACAAAGCAGAACCTTCATTCAGTTCAGGAAACAAGGGCATATTTGTCCATTTGTCTGGAAAATCTAGACAAACGTGGACATGTGTAAATATCCATTTTTATATGTCCTGTTTGTTAATCAACCTGTCCATCAGATTTCACAGCAAATGGAGGACCACCCTAATTCTGCCCAATAATCTACCCTCTGAAAGGTAGGGGAGGATTCTGCCTAAGTCATGGCAGCACTTTTACTCAACAGCCCCTACATTTGCACATAGTGCATTTTTGCTTTCAATGAAAGCTATGCTTTGCTGCAGTTTGTATACTGATCAACTCTGGATTCAGGACCCAAAGAAACTAGGACCAAGATCAGGATGGGAATCCTCACCCTTAAAACCATCACTTTGTGACACCCACTCTTCGATACTGGGAATACTTGGAGAACAAAAAGTAAAGAATAAAAGCCTGTGTATACCTATTAAAAGCCTCATTCTTATGTACTCTTTACAAGAGCTTGTCTTTCTCTTATATGTAGCAACTCATAAAATATAAACATATTCCTTTGAGAAAGGCAGGATCACTGCCATCATTTTATCAGTGAGGAAACTGATACTTAGAGGAATTCAGCAACTTTCTTAAGTATGCACAAAGACCACGAGGCAGCATTGGGACATGCTCAAAGATCCTGTACTCCAGAACTCATCAGTCTTCCACAGTAGGATTTCTCTTCATATGTAGAATCTACCATCTTGACCATGTGATCCGAGAGGTGGTTGTTACCTATTCCTTCGACCTCTGCCTTACTTGGTTTTAACTCCCCAGTCATGCTGATCCCTAAGCTCCATTCATATCAGAAGAGGGTTTCTAGTTTAAAGAGCAAACACCCCACTTCTATCTCATCCAATGTTTCCATCCAGATTTTCTTCCCCTTCAGATTCCCTTTATGTAGAATCTAAAACTTCAAACTTGGTCCACCTGCCTATTATTATTATTATTGAACTGCTTCCTGTTGCAACAACCAGTCTACATAACTATTGTGTTCAAAATCAATAGCCAGCCTACCCCATTGGAGAATGATTGTCCTCTATATGTACAAATGTATATATTTGCATGTACATGCACACGTGCGCATGCACACACACACACACATACACACACTTCTTTCATTAAGTTTTATTTTAGATCCTGTGTGAAACAACATGCAGGGTAAATTCTTTAATTTCTCTAAATTTTCATTCATTCATCTGTTATATCATGATAATGGTTTTATTTATGTAGGTATTAAATAAGTCCACTTAGGTGACACAATTAAAATTTTGTATATGGTATATTCCCAATAAGTGATTAGCTGTGTTTTCAGTATTTTAGAAGAGTCTTAACTATTAGCTGCTGTCTGAAGTTTATTTGAACTTAAAGAACACTTCTATGCATAATATTTTCTTTCTATTGATTGCTCAGTTTATTGACCATGTAATTGTAACCCCTCTGTACAGTATTTCCACAATAAAAAAAAAGAAGGTCTGAGATCACCCATGTATCCCGTAACTACTCACATTTACTCTTGTCAGGTCCTGTGTTAGTTCTCCTGTATTAGTTATTCTGTTTAAGGAGGAGTGAGGAAATGCAAGGCTTATTTATGTTGAGCAAACAAAACAATAAAGCTCCAGTGACCAACACTTGGACCAAAATTTGACATAATGGGCCACACCTAAAACAACTATTAACAAGATGACCCACAGTCTAGATTATAGATTAAGATTAAGCTAATGATCTTCAGTACTCATCATATAGCCTACTTATTCCTTTCCCAGAAAGGGAAAAGAGAATGAAATGAAAACAGAGGATCAAATGTGTAGATTTATGTTACCTCAGTTGGTGGTGCCATTGCCCAGTCTACAAATCATTTGGTAAGGCTCTAAGGAGAAGGCCTAGGTTTCAAACCATTCAATAACCCAACCCTATTAGATAAACCCAATAACACACAGCTTCAAGACAGTGGGCTTTATCTTAAACATTGTATCCAATTGGTAAGGAACATCTAGAATTCCCCATACACTAGTAACACTACTTTGAAGTTCTTTTCTTTACTCTCAAATACCCTGCCCTATTGTCACTATTATTGAAGAAGTTGCACTTTGCTTGGAGTTGTATAATCATTCTCATATCTGGACTTGGGTATATTAAGTGGTGAATAACACTGAGTGATAGCTTCATCAAGCATAGTCTAATAAAATATATAAAATAGAGAGGGTACTTAATGTTTATTTTTATTCAACGTATATATGTTTATTGAATTAATAGTTGAATGATTGAGTGTGGAAAAAGCAAATAATTCTGCTTAGTTTTGTCCATGGAAGCCCTTTTTGAGTGGTTAAATACAAAGGTCTGATAATTATCCACAGAACATCATCCAGTACTACCGTCTTACTTTCTTCCTAAGAAATCATGAGATATAAGCTTCCTAGTCCATTGAAAAAACGTGAAAATTACTCACTAATGTGTAGCCAAAGACAACTAGACAGTATAAAATTGAAGCATGGAGTGGCAAGAGTTAATTCCATACAGAGAATTCCCATATAGCAATTCACAGGCAGTAATTGCCATTAGGGGGAATTGGAAGACATGCCGACATGAGGTGAGTGGAGCAATCAGATGCCAAACCCTCACCATGGGCAGGATGTGCTAATCTGGGAAAACACTTCAAAGGTTACTGATGGACAGACAACAGAACAACTTCTCAGGAAAATGATAGCCCCTTGAACACAAATGCATAGTTGAATTCTTCACTCAAGCTGTTTGGATAGAATTTTGTAATAGATACCAGTTCACCAGCCATTACTTCAATAAAAACAGATGCAAAAAAGTTACAAAATGCAATCCTAAGAAACTGTGTGCTATTGAGAAATAATTGCACATTTTACTTCTCTCTACTCTTTTGTTTGCTTGTTTACTTGTCCAGTTTTCAGAATTGGCACTACTGTTGGTGTTAGTATTAAAGTATATAGACTCATCTAAAAGTTAAAAAGACACAAATGAAAACCATGCTTTATCGCACTGACCAGAGGTAAGTGATCAACACTTCTACCCCTTACCTATATTAATAGATGCATATGCATTTATGTATACACTGGGGCTAGCAGTTGAAATAAGATATTAAACATTATATTGTATAAACTTCATTCCTCAATAACATCTTGAATATTTCAAGTTCAGTAATTGCAAATATACATTACTTTAGTGGTTACTTACTCTTCCATTGTATGCAGGGGTTCACTAAGTGTGCACAGTCTACTTTATGAAAGAACTGTGGAGAATTATTTTTAAAATATCTCTCTTGTACTACTTATCATTGTAAACTTTTATTTATTCATTCAGTTGAACATTATGAGATTGGTATTATGCTGGATATAGCAAATATAAATAAAAAGATAAGATAGACAAAATAAGAATTGAGGTAAAAATTCAAGCTCTTGTTAGATAAACCAATAATTAAGCAATTATAATATGGCATTTTAAGCTGAAATAGAAAAGAGCAGTACAAAGATTTTTGATGACACAGAAGAATGGAGTAAGGGTCTTTGGTAGGTTGAGGAAACTGTACAGAAGAAAAAGACTGAGTTCTTTTTTTAAAAAAAAATTTAATTTGCCTGGTGCTGGTGGCTCACGCCTGTAATCCTAGCTACTTAGGAGGCTGAGATCTGAGGATCGTGGTTCAAAGCCAGCCCGGGCAGGAAAGACCCTGAGACTCCTATCTCCAATAAACCACCAGAAAACCAGAAGTGGCACTGTAGCTCAAATGGTAGAGCGCTCACCTTGAACTGAAGAGCTGAGGGACAGAGCCCAGGCCCAGAGTTCAAGCCCCACGACCGACAAAAAAAAAATTAATTTAATTTTATGGTAAGGGTGATGTCAGAGGGGTTAGAGTTACATAAATAAGATAATGAGTACATTTTTTCTCAAACATTGTTACCCCCTCTCTTGTTTTTTCTTACTTTCCAAATCCCCTCCCCAGAAGTTGTGAAGTTCATTTTCAATGAACTTGTGAGTATCACTGTGGCATTGGTTCACCCTTTGTCCTTTGTCTCACCATTTTGTTATTCCCTTTCCCTTCCTCAAATCAGATAAATGTATATACAAGACATGGGATGCCAAAATAAAAAACAGTGACAACAGGGGATACACAAAAGGAAAAAGAAAGAAAAAAAGAAATAACTTCACAGAGTACATTAAAAAGAAAAAACAAAGAAACAACAACAGCAAAAATCTCTTGTTTTCATATCTTGGGGTTCATTTTGATTACCATCATTTTATTTATTTATTTATTTACTTATTGTCAGTCGTGAGGCTTGAACTCTGGGCCTGGGTGCTGTCCCTCAGCTTTGCAGCTCAAGGCTAACACCCTTCCACTTGAACTACAGTGCCATTTCCAGCTTTTTTTCTGCTTATATGGTACTGAAGAATTGAACCCAGGGCCTCATGCATGTGAGGCAAGCACTTTACCACTGGGCCAACTTCCCAGCCCAATTACCATCATTTTATATGGTCATATGTACATAGATATTGAATTATTGTGATTCTCTTCTAGGACTATCCTAGATATGAACCCAAATCATCAGATGGAAGAAAGACAGCCTCTTCAACAAATGGTACTAGCAGAATTGGCTGTAAATATGTAGAAAA